TGCACATATGCATATGTGCAAGTGTATGGGTGTGTGTGTGCATGAATGTGGGTGCGTGCAAGTATATGTGTGTGCATGCGTGTGTGTAAGAGAGTGCATGCATATATGCGATGTATGGGTGTGTGTGCACGAGTGTGTGTGTGCAAATATATGCATGTGCGTGCATGCATGTGTGTATAAGAGTATGTGCACATCAGCATATGCGTGGGTATATGAATGTGGGTGTGTACAACTATATGTGTGTGTGCATACATGTACATGTGTATGTCTGCGTGTACATGCATAAGAGTGTGTGCATATGTGCGAGTGTATGGAGCGCGTGTGCACGTATGCATATATGCGATGTATGGGTGTGTGTGCACGAGTGTGGGTGTGTGCAAGTATATGCATGTGCGTGTGTGCGTGTGTGTATAAGAGTATGTGCACATCGGCACATGCGTGGGTATATGAATGTGGGTGTGTACAACTATATGTGTGCATGCATGCATGTACATGTGTGTGCCTGTGTGTACATGCATGTGTAAGAGCGTGTGCATATGTGCGAGTGTATGGGTGTGTGTGTGCACGAGTATGGGTGTGTGCAAGTATATGCATGTGTGTGCGTGCATGAGTGTGTAAGAGTATGTGCACACAGGCATATGTGTGGGTATGTGAATGTGGGTGTGTACCAGTATATGCATGTGCCTACGTGTGCATGTGCGAACATGGGTGTGTGAGTGTTCATGTGAGTGGGGCACGCGAGTGTGCATGTGTGTGCATGAGTGTGGGTGTGTGCCACATTGGCGCGCCGGTCTGCCTGGTTCTGGGCCATTCTCGTGTCGCCGGCTCTGTGCCTGAGCTTCTAGGCTCTCGGCCTGGGAGGTGATGTCGGTGTGCCCGGGCCTCTTAGGGGGCCGTCCGCCTTGCACATCTCCCCATGTATCAGCTATTCTGGATCAGCTCCTAATCTTCCCTTCCCTCAAAGCACAGCTACCATCTGCCTCGGGGACCCCCGGACTCTCTCACGTCGCACCTGCTGCTGGAGAAGGTCAGAGCGCCACTGGCCTCGCAAAGTCTTGGATCTCAGTCCACTTCCCCTCCTTCTGGGCACACTGTTTCCTCCCGTCGGACTTGGGCTACATCAGGGCTCCAGCCATTCACTGCCACCCCCAAACCATATTTCAAAGCCACTGAAAGCCTCTCCTTAAAGGAGACGAAGAGTGAAAATAAATATGCCCTGAAGGTTTGGGTGTCTCATGAATAAAACATTCCCCACCTTTCAACACTTCCAGAAGCCACAGTCTAGTCAAGGTGAGAGGCAGGAGGGCTGTCACATAAACACTAAGGACAGAACTCTGTGGATACAGAAGGCTGGAGTGCGCAGAAGGATGATTTACAGAGGAGGAGGCGAACAGGGTTTTAAAGGATGAATAGGAGTACGCCAAATCAACAAGGTAGAGAAAGGCCTCCCTGTGCGTCTGTCACAGCACTGACCGCCGGTGTGGGGTGACTCCATGTGCCTGACACCCAGGGACCTAGCACAGGGCCAAGGACAGAGTAGTCTGTTAGTAAATAACAGCGCCAGCCTCCAGCATGAGCGGCAGGGATCGTGTCAAGAGGTGCACAGGGCTGGGTGGCTTGGGTGACATGGGAGGACACACGGAAGAGGTGAGACCAGGAAAGACCCAAATGCCCTCGTTCCTTCTCCTTTCTCCCCCAGCCTCAAGGGACGGCCAAGGGCCATCTGGGGACGTGAGTGAAATACAGAGCAAAGTCTCAGATGCTGAGAGGGAAATAAACCCGATTCCCGTGGGCCCCCGGCTCTGCCGCAAATGCCAGGCCCATCAAGAGGTGATAATTGTATCCTTCCCACAGATGAAACCCTCATACACTTTCGTGGGGCTGGGGGATGGGGCGGGGGACACGGTCACTCCCATTAGTCGATGTTGAAGCTAATTGGCCTCCTGACTTCCTCAGAATTTATTTGCACAATTTGCGAGTCATTTAGGGGCCAGTATGTTTAAATATTTATTTCTCCATCTCGGGAACAACACTGATTACCGTTCCGTATTTAACGACAATTTGCCAGACACCTAGGGAGCGCGTACGCTAAGCTGTTTCAGAGAAGGTGAGTCACCGGCCCCATTTTGCGGACAAGGAGACTGAGGCACACAGCCCAGGGCCCTGCCTATAGCCACCTGACCAGTGTCGAGTAGACCTGGAGTGGCTGGGGAGCCCGCGGGAGGCGTAACACCCCCACGCCGGGCCTCGCCACTGTCCGCCTGGAGCGGACAGCCGTCGTTGTGAATTGTGTCCTCCTCACCCAGGAGGACAGGCAGCTCGGATGATGTGACCCAGCCTTTCCACATTGGCTAGAACATGGAACCTGCCCGGGACTCAGGCCGCTTGCTCTGGGCCCGGCCTATCCCAGGAGCAAGGGACACCGACTCGGACCCAATCCCTCCCTTAGGCTCTTTGTTTCACTGAGGCCTCCCAGTGCCTAGAGCAGGGCTGGGCACATAGTAGGTGCTTCCACGTGTGCGATGAATGAATAAACCCAAATTAGCCGTGCACCAGCATCACCTTCAACAAACGTGAACAAAGCACCCACTCACTATGTTCCAGGCTCAGTTCTAGAAGCCAGGGACAGCCGAGATGGCCTCAGCAGGCTTCCTGCCCCCCTGGAGAAGGACAAGGGCAGACTTTCACGGAGTCCTCCAGCAGGACACCATTAACCATTCCCATGGCTCTCCCACGAGGTGGGGGTCTCATTCCCGCTTCACGGAGGAGACCGGGAGGCCCATCCTGGAGCCCGACTTCCCTGGGTTTGGATTCAGCTCTCATTTCATCTGTAAAACGGGGCTGATGGTCATGTGCCCACGTTCTAGGACTGAGTCATCACAGGCAGAGTGCCCGGAAGACACAACGCTCGCCACGGAAGCGCTTATTCTCATTCCAGCTCAGCAGTCGGAGGCTCGTGGAGGCGGAGAGCCTTGCCCAGGGGCGCACCGCCAGGAGGTGGCCGAGGCAGGATTGGAACCCAGATCCTGGGACTCCACTACCCTTTCTGCCATGTCTCACACCCCTCCCCGGAAGAAAGAGGAGCTCTTTTGCCTTTTAAGCATGTGGGGACAGGAGGTGGCCTCAGCAAGGCCCTGCATCTTAACCTCCCCGGCCTCTTTTAAGACAACTGCATTGGGTCGAGCCTCCGTACCGGCTGTGGAGAACCGTGCCTTCCAGGCTTCCCTCGGTCCCTCGACAAAGGGCTTGGAATCCACACAAAGCTCCCCTCCCAGGTTCTCCTCTTCTGGCTCTGCCACTCATTCGGCGGAGTGGCTTTGGGGGAGTTGCTGCCTCTCTCTGGGCCTCAGTTTCCCCCTCGGTGTAGCAAGGGGTTCTAGAACTTGCTCTGCACCCACAGCTGCAGTTCACAAGCGCTTCCTGGACGTGCATCACTCCCGCCTCATCCGCACAACACTTCCGGGAGAAACATGACCATCCCAGCTCTGCTGGTGGGGAAACCGAGGCTTCCAGCAGGGAGAAAGCCCGCGGCCACTCCACGAGTAAGCAGCCCAGCCAGGAACCGAACCCGGCTCTGGCAAAAATCTCAAAGGCCCTCCGAGTCCTAAAATCCTCCCCGTTTAACAACAGAAGCATGCGCCGCTTCCCGTTTGCTGGAACCTTCCGTGGTCCACATCTCACCTGCAGCGACGTCACCGTGGACAGGTCTTTAAGCTTCCCTTCTTCATCTTTTAGGTTATATCCCTCGGGCCTCTTATCTCGTTCCGTAATCTTCCATAACTTGATAGTTTTATCTTTAAAAACAAAGCAAATGAAACAGGATACGTGATGAACACCAGCACAGGGAATGGGCCACGAGGTAGGGGAGCGCTGATCCGGGAATCACCTGACCGGGGTCCTGCTCTCGGACAGGCAGGTTCTTTCTCCTGTGCACCCATGCGCTGAACACGGCCGTGAACGGGGTATCTGTCCTCGATCTCTGCCTCCTCACAACTGATCCCAAGGGACAACTCCCGGGTCAAAAGGGAAGGCACCTCTGAGGGCAGCCGGCCAAGTCTAAAGCCACGTCCAGACAGCATGCCACTGCAGTTTCTCACTTTTTAGGCTCTGCAGCGGCAGACAAAGGAGGGTGACCCACATTTCTGAGCAGCACCCTGCCCATCCAGAGGGCAGGTTCCCAGTGGCCTCACTTCTCTGAAATCCTGCCACAAATATCAGGAGGGTCATGGAGTAGCTGTGATGCTTCCTTTTATACGTCAATGTGGCAAAGCCAGGCTACCCTGGTATCTGGTCAAACGTAGGTGCGTGCTGCTCTGAAGGTTTTTTTTTTTTTTTTTTTTTTTTATTGGATGGAATTAACATTTAAACCTGTAGAGGAAAGCAGGCTGGCCTCCAGTGTGCGGGTGGGCCTCATCTAATCAGGTGAAGGCCGTACAGGACAAAAGACTGACCTCCTCTGAGGAAGAGGGAATTGTGCCAGCAGATGGCCTTCGGACTCGAGCGGCCACGTTAGCTCTTCCCTGGGTCTCCAGCCTTCCAGCCAGCCCTGCACATTGTGGATCTGCCGGCCCCCACAATCATGTGCGACAACCCCTCAAAGTCAGCCTCTTTCTGTGTATCTATATCTACACGTTACACCCGTCCACACGCCTCGGTCCCGTTTCTCTGGAGAACGCCGGCCGCTCCTGTGCCTCAAACACACACCGTCAGGCTCAGGAGAACGAAGAGGGAGACGACTGAGATGACTAAACCCTTGATATGTACCCAAAGACATGCGTTAGCAAAGGGAGCAGCTGGGATTTAAACCCGGGAGGTGGGGGGGTGGCGAGCAGCTCTGAGAGTGGGAGGGTAGGGAGCTTCTAAAGCTGCCTTCCCTCCAGAAGGGCAGGAGGAGAATGACGCACCCTGTTCCCACGGGTAGAGGGAAACCACGCGTGCGGCTCAGGAGCTCCGGCCCTGCTCTAAACCCACTGTGGCTTCACGTCACTCCGTCCTCCCAGGGTCCCCGCAAGGCAGGCACACCCATCACAGTTCAGATGGGGAAGTGGCAGGACCAGGATGTGAACCACATTAGGGTCTCCCGTCCTTGGGGAGGTCCACGCTGCCTCTGCTCCAGTGCTGGCTGAACATGACCCCGTGCCAGGCACCCCTGAGGGGGTCTCAGATCGTGCACGTGGCACAGTGAAGGACGAGGACAGCGGGAGCTCCTGGAGGGCGGGCCTGGGGCAGGGAGGGGCCGGGACCGACCGCAGGAGGGACCCCAGGCTCGGCTGAGACGTCAGCGAGGGCTCAGTGGAAGGTGACACCCAGTGGAGGTCTCCGGGATAAGGATGGATGGTAGGGCTGGGTGGCCAGGCGAGGGGCAGGGAGGGCAGCCTTTGGGCACAAGGCTGGGTCGGTGGGGTTGAGTCTGGGCCATTTCAAGGATGCCTTAGCAGCCGCACCGAGTCTGGGCTCTGATGGAGGGGACGGGTGGTGTCGCCTCGTGAGGCTCACGCACACTGCAGCAGGACTGGCTGGTCTCAGGGTGCTGGGTGGGGGGGGGGGCGCGTCACCTCCCATCACCCTCACCACAACACAAGGGAGGGAGCTGCATGCACCCTGCTGCCCAGGTGGGGAAACCGAGGCTCAGGGAAGCAAGGAGTCTGGCCAGGAAGTCGGGGGCCTGGGGGCGCACGCGTTCTCCCTGGGTCAGAAGGGTCGGGTGGCCAGCCAGGCTCCTAAATCCGTGCCCGTCCTGCAGCCCACCCCACCCCCAAGAGTGGCAGCCGCACTCTTGCAGAAGACCTAAGCTTGCCTCCTTCACTGGGACTATTCGAGCTCCCCCCACACCCCCCGAACAAAGGCAATCACGGAGCCATTCCTGACTCAGCTGCTTGGAATAGTGGGAACGAGCCTCATGCCCAGCCACGGGAAAAGGCTAAGACACAGCGGGGTCACCGCAGGGAATTCACGCACTGCTCAAAATACGGTTTTGGGGTTCTCGGGACCTGGGAAAATGCTCACAACCTAAGCGAGGTGGGAAAGAGCACTTGACGGCCCAGGGCGGGCACAGGCGGGCGGCCCCTCACCGTTCGTGGACAGCAGGGAGTGGGCGGCATTCTGCTGCGGAAGCCACTTAATCTTGTTGATTTTCTCCTCTATCTCCAGACTCTTGAGATAGTCAAACTCCGGCTCGTGGCTCTGGAAGGTGCTGTAGACGTCATACTCGCCCTGGCTGTGAGGCGCATTTTTACTCTGCAAGAAAACCCAGACGAGGACACCTGAGCTCCAGGATGGCAGGGGTGGGGTGGGAGCAGCCCCCCAGGCAGGGGTGAGGGACGCACTGACCAAACCCTCAGAGAGCCCGACTGCCAGGCGGCCCGTGTCCAGCAGAGCTCGCAGACCCGATGCCAGGGTCAAAGGAAACCAAGCCCTGTCTCCTTCTCTGTCCAATAAGTAAAACCGGCAGCAACCGGGCTACCTCACCGCATTTGATGAACACCTACTATGTGCTGGGTACTGAGCTAAGTGCTTCTCATTCCTCGTCTTGTTCTAGCCTTACGGCCCCTCTGCGGTGGGCACCGTGAGTCTCCCCATTTTACAGATGGGAAAGCGGAGGCTTGGAGATGAGTTGACCACCCCCGCCCAAGGCCATGTGTCCACTAGGTGCTGTCACCCGTGCCTCTGAGGTCTGACACCAAGGCCAAGGCTCTGGCCTCCTCCTCCAGTCTGAGTGTCCAACTCAGGAGGCCTGACTTGAGGAATGAACGTGCTCTGGAACAGATACTACACTGTGGCAGAATATCCCGCAATGCCAGTCACGTCCCGGCGACTTTCCTCGGCAGGCCCACCCTGGTTTACGCAGCGAGCTCCCAACACGGACCCTCGCAGTAGATCCCTCAACACAGTGCGGTGGGGAATCCATTGCGGGCAGAGGGACAACTGTCCCGGCAGATGATTTCAGTTTATGTGACAACATGAAGCTTCTACCAGAAGTATAACCTGCCTGGGAGCAAAGCGGAGACATTCCACCACGCACGATTTCAAAGTTCCTGTGCACTTTCTCCAAAAGCATCTACTGCTATGTTTCCACACCTGTCCTGCTTCTGGAAAGCTTTCAAGTTCCCCTGGATGCCTGGCTAACTCCCTTTCCCGTGAGCACTGCCCACAACAAAGGTCAGCGGGACCAGGATAAAGAAAACCATTAACAGGAGAAAAATTCAGAGTTGAGAAACTTGCATCTTGCGATTTAATTTCTTTCTGCAAAAAGGAGCTTTGCGATCCCCGGCCGGCTACCCTGGTCCCCGTGAAATCAGCACGCTCCGGCCACGGTGCATGGGTGACCGATTTTCAGCTGTCCACTCTCTGGCTATGTGTCCTTGCTAAGCTATTTCACACCCTCTGAGCTCCGGTCTCCCCATCTGTGAAATGAGACCACTAATGGCCCCTGATTGTGCCACTGGGGCTGTCGTGAGGAGGCTGACGGTGGTGAGCACGGTGAAGTCTGACCTCAATCAGGTCCGGAACTGGATGGAGCAGGGTTGCGTCTGCAACATCTCCCTCCTCCCCTCTCTCCTTCTCAATCGCCCCTCCTCCTCTTCTCTTTCTCCTGTCCCTCCCCCCCCCCCCGACCCCCTTGGTTTTCACCATCCTGTCTTCAGCATCTAATCCCTGCACGGGTTTGGTGTGTGGGATGCCGCCCCCCCCCCCCACCCCTTGGAGGCAGGCTGGCGTCTTGATTGCAATCCCTGGTCTTTGCTCACTGGCTGGGCGACTTCTCCAAGTGTCCTCATCTGTAAAATGGGTGTCGGTCCCCACCCTCTGGGGTGGGCAGTGGAGAGTAAATGAGAAACGTCCTTAAAGAGCATAGCAAGGGGACTGCACACAGTAGGTACTCAACAAATGGGGGCCTTTTTATCATGAGGCTTCTTTCAGTGGTTCAGAAACAGTACCCACCCCCCCACCCCGGGTGGGCTGATCCAGGCCACTCCGGTCTTACCCAGAATTCTGCCGGACAACAAACCTCGCCAGGGCGAGGCCTGGGGCTGAGCCTCATCGCCAACCCCCGCCTGACCCCTGCAGAAAACCCAGTCCTCCTGTCCCCCCACCTCTGGCTGGGACAGCGCCCAGGCACAGGGCAGTGATCTCAGCCTTATGCCAGGACAACAGCCCGTCCTGAGGGCCTCTCAGGGATCCCGGGCAGAATGAGCAAGGGCCCGCGTTGGGTGTAGCCCCCCCTCCCGCCACCACCAGGTCCGGCCGCACCTCTGGCTCCCGCTGGAAGATGACGACCCGGCCACCCTTGTCGCCTGTGGCCAGCAGCTCTCCGGTGTGGTTGAACTCAACAGTAGAGATGATATCAGCTGTGGGGGGGGGGGGGGGGGAGAGACAGGAAGGCGTGGCTCGTTAGGACCCCAGCACTGCGCAGGTCCACAGAACTAGGACCCACCCGCACAGAACGCACCCCTGGCCTGTGCCACCATCTGGAAGCAGGAGCCCGAGGGTCAGGTGCCCTGACGAGGGGCGAGTGGTCCCCCTGTCCCCTCCCCGCTGGCTGCAGGACCCGTCCGTGGGCTTTACTCTGTCTCCTTCCTGCTTCCTACCTTCCTCCCCCTCGTGCTTCCAGAGGCAGTTTGGGGGTTTCACGTGCTGGCCGGGAGACCGGGCTACAAATTGGACACTAGCCCTACTCTGGGGGCCCCTGGGACCAACTGTGGTCAGCCCTGCCCCGCATGAGCCCCCCGTCAGTGGGACCCCCTTAAGCTTCACATTCCTGGCCCGGACTCTGCAGGCACCAGAATCTCTGATCCGGCTTTAGCACGGTGGACCTACTTTCCGACAAACCGCAGCTATGATCACAGCCCCTGCCCGGTTCTCCCACAGCTGCCAGATTGATGCCCGAAACCCTCCGCGGGTCCACAAAACCAGACGCTGTTCCCTCCCGAAGCCTCCCTCTGCAGCCGCCCTCTCAGGTGGTGGCAGCTCCACACCCCCCAGCCCCGGTCGGGCCCCAGCCTTGGGAGTCTCTGTGACCCCTTCCTCTCTGCCCCTCTCCCCTGCCACGTCCAGTCCCACTGGCTTGGCCTTTGCAATACACCCAGACTCCACCCACATCTCCCCACCTCTCGCCCCCGCAAGATTCTGACAGCCCGCGAAAGGACCTCCTGGCTTCGTCCCTGCTCCTGCTATAAGCTAGCCCCAGCACAGCAAGAGGGGGCCCACCCGAAACCCATCTGACCTCAGGGTAAAAAGCAAAGGTCTCAGAGTGGTCTAAAGCCTGAGTGGTCTCTGGTCCTCAGAGGCAGATCGCGTCGGAAGCCCAAATGGTCACTCCCCTCCTGCACCCGCACAGAACTTGGTGTTGCCTTCCCCCTGAGGGCTGGGCAAGCCCCAGCCAGACCCCTCCCAGACCCCCCTCCCTCCCGGACTCTGGGCTTGGCCGTGTGATCTGCTTTGGCCTATGGGACACCAGCAGACAAGCCACCATCCAGAACCCCTCCCGCTTCCAGAAGGACCTGCCGGGGCTAGCCCAAGGTCCCAGGAGGAGGGGGAGGGACGCAGAAGAGTCAGCCCCTAGGAGGCCCCCTGCCTCCCCACTTACCCAGCCCAACCCATTCTAGTTCAGCAGATCTGCAGATGCGCCAGGAAAAAAAAAATGTTTGTTGTTACGTCTTGTTTTTCACTCAGTAAAAGGTAACACCTCTCCCCCCCCCCATCTCCCCTCCTGCCCACCTCCCTCTTCCACTCACACAGGGCTCCTTGCTGCTTCTCAAAAGCACCGGCCACCTCTTACTCAAGACCTCAAGTGATTTTTGCATTTCTATTCAATAAACGCCCTTTGCTTTTCCAACCGGTGCCTTTTAGAGGCAGCTTCCGGACTGCACTGGCCACTGGAGCCATAGGTAAATGCCGGCTTCGACAGCAAAAGAAAAGAGAAGAGAAAAGGTGGTTTAGAAGCGGGATGATGGGCTGGACGTTTTCATCGATCAAGATAAAGGCACATTTCATTGAACTTAGAAAGACAAGACAAGACAGAGAGAGCGGCTGTACGGGAACATGTAAATGCCTGCGGAGCCCGGAGCTGGGAAAGGGCCGGGTCCTCCATGGGGCAGCCGGCCCTGCACTCGGACCAGCGGAACCAGAGCCCTCAGAGCTGGGTTCCCGCTACGTCGTATCAGCAGCCCCTAAGGGGCAAAGAGCAGGGTACGAAATTGTGCATGAAGTGTTTTTAATCATATAGACCAATGATCACAGCCGTGCTAAATGCCAAACACACCGGGCAGAGGAAAGAGAGGCCGAAGAATGATGCCCCACCACGTTGGCACAGGGCGCTTTGGGGTGGTTGAAATAAAGAATTTTTGTTTCTCTTTCCACGTCTCTACATTTTCTCAATTTTCTGTAATGAATGTGTATTTTTAATAGTTTTCTCGGGGTGTAAGTGATACATACAAATGGACATATTTCATGTATCCAAGTTGATGAGTTTGGACATATGCATAATTTATATTATTTTTATGACAGAAGAATAACAATGCTATTAAATTAAAACGCCAACGTGACCACCGGTGCCCAGAGCGAACGCAGTCCTTAAATGCTGGGCGGTTTCCACAGTAACAGACGCCAACATCTGCAGGCAATTTACAATTTATGTGTCACTTTCACATCCACTGCCTCCTTTGAGACTCACGCCAGCCCCTGAGGGGGACACAACTATTCTTTCCATTGGCAGCCCGAGACGTGGAGGCGCCTGCTTGGGGACAACCTCCCAAGCTGCTCACGGGCCAGTCGGAAGTCCTGGGTTGGAGTCTGGGCTCCAGCGTCTTGGCTGTGTGGCCTTGGGTTGGTCACGCCACTTCTCTGAGCCTCAGTGTTTTGGCTATAATAGCGTCTGCCCGGGATTGGAAGCTCCAGTGGGACTACGGGGTGTGAGGGTCCAGGAGGAAGGATCCCGACTCTGAGCGAGGATGAGTTACTAAAATTTACTGCACGGAGAAACGGAAGCTCCCTCTCAGCATTGCTTCTGGCCTCCACACACTTTGCCGTGGCCAGCCCAGAAGTGTGCGGGATGAATGGCGGCTCAACTTCACTGTGCGCATTTGGGGATCCCGGCCTCCAGCCCCACTAGTCCCATCGCACAAACACTTACGGAGCAAGCAGACCATGGCACCGCTCCCTCAGGCCTCAGGTTGGTGGGTGTTTCACATCTATTTATTGCTACAGGAAGTATCTTCGAGGGGTTGCCATAGGCAAGGTTACTTCCCCTGAGAGCTGGAAATTCTTATCAATAAAACCTTGAAATCAGAAAGTCTCTCATCTTGGAATGTTTGACACATATCCAGTCCCAATACCACCTCCTCCAGGAAGCCTTCCTGGAGACCACCCCTGCCCCCCAGTTCAGCCGTCTCTCCTGCAACTACAGTCTCATGCTCACTGTGGGTCCCTCATTGAATATGGACCCCTTCCTACATGGGGGCGGTCCCTGTCCAGGTTGCCTCTCACCTTGACCACAGAAGGGAACCCAGCAGTGTGGTCAATAATATGAACTCACATTCTTAAAGTGCTTGTTTTCCAGGCACTGTTCTAAATCTCTCCATAGAAGTTTTTGCTTCTGGAAATAGCTGGCGGCTCCTATTGGATCAACTCTCTCACCAATAGCGACGATAAAACCTCAACAGATGAAACAACAAAACACGACTGCCTGAGGCATTGGAGGGAACCAAGTACAGGTGGAACCTGCAGAAAAATCAGCAATTGAAACTCACTGGATAAGTTTCCTATTTTCATGGCTGAGGACAGGCCCCCAGTCTGTGCCATGGGGCTACTGAAACTCAGACATAAAGTCCTACTCTTAAGGCTCAATAAATCAGAAGGCAGGGACTGGGGAAATCGTAGCAGCTGGAAAGTGAGGGAGTAAATTCTGGAAAGGGGGGGGGGGTGACTGAGGAAGTCCCCAAATGCAGCATATAAACTCTGCCCAAATCTTTGGCTACAAAACACGCATGCGTATGACAGATTCCAAGCAACCCAGCGATGGCTAAAAGAAGTGACCTGAGGCTGTGCTATTGTCCACCACCCCGGAGATAGGGTTTACAGTTGAGTTCAACCAAGTTGACTGCTCACAAACACAAAATAAAACAAAAAAAATGCTCTTTGGAGGGACATAAAAAACATCTCGAATCTCTGCAATGTCATCATTCACAACGCCCAGGACAGAATCCAAAATTATATGAAGACATACAGAGAAATACGGACGCATCACCCATACTTAATATAAAGATGATTCATGGAGACTGGCCATGAGATGCCCCGGATGTTGGAACTGGCAAATGAAAAAATTAAAGTAGGTATTATAACTATGCTCAAGGATGCAAAGGAAAATACTCAAAGTAAAGAGAGAGAGAAAATAAATTAAAAAAAAAAAAAAGAACAGATCTTCTGGGATCCGCAGGTCAATGTCAAATGTCTAACACACACGTAATTGCGGTTCCAGAAGGAGAGGAGAGAGAGATAATAGAGTAGGAGAAAGACTTCAAGGAACAACGGCTGAAAAAAATCCCCCATACGGGAAAAGGCACCAGCGACACATTTCGGAAGCTCAGTTACCTCCAGAGAGGATAAATACAAAGAAAGCCACACCTAACTGTTGAACGATTGAGGACCAAATTAGTGATAGAATTTTGTAAGCGGCTGGAAGAAAACCATGTCACATTCAGAGGCATCAGGCCTCCAATGACTGACGATTTCTCATCAGAAACGATGCAGTCCAGAAGACGTTCAAAGGGCTGAATGAGAATTGAAAAGTCGGTGAACCCAGAATTCTGTATCCAGTGGACGTACTCCTCAAGAACGAAAAGCAAACGAAGACATTTCAGTTAAGGCCTTCCAGGGACCAGAAATCCAATCTCAGAACAGTCCTACTGTCCTATCATCATTCTCTCTTTACAGATAAGCGACCTTGGTCACCGAGAGGCAAGGAGCTTGCCCAAGGTCACATATGAAGCAGGGCCTGTGCAGTGTGTCCCTGCACCCACACCACAGGGTCTCACAGTGCCACTCAGCCATTGAGTGAGGGCTGCCAAGCCGCCTGACAAGCCAGTGGTGGCTCCGAGTCACCCTGTCACGGGTGAAGAAAAATCCCACGAAAGCCCATGCTGCCTTCCCACTTGAGAGGTCCCCTCTTCCTTCTCCTTCAGCTCCTCAAAAGGCAAGGCTGGAAGAGGCAGCTTGGGCCACGGCACCAGGACACATCTGTCACCTCCCTGGAAATGGCCACCATGCAGTGCCAGCAGGGGAAGCCCAGAGCCACCCAGTCCGGGGAGCCAGAAAGCCACACTGTGGCCCAGTATGGGCTTAGGGAGAATCA